AGGATATCTGCTTTGCCACATGTTTATTTCTGCTGCTCCAAAGTGATGGTCTGTCTTTTTTTCACAGTGGAAATTTGAAGAGCCAAAAGTTTTCTGACCTATTCTTCCCTGTTGAGGTGAGCAGGATTGAGGAGTAGAGAGGACTACTTTGAAGTTGTGAACCTTGGTGAATGAAAGAGTGATGGTGACTTAAACAGTAACAGGGGAATTTGGAAGAAGGGTAGGTTCAGGCAGTGGGTGGGAGATAGAAAGATAATGGTCTCTATTTTAAGATGCCTTTCAAAAATCCCAGCTGAAATGTCTGGTAGGAAGTTCATAATGTGGGACCCAGGGTAAATTTTCAAAACTTCATACAAATCATCTTTAGTTTTGCTGATTCTTTGTTTTGGGTAAAAATATTGAGGCAGCAGGCTCCTTTTTCAAGGATCTGGGCTGAGAAAGGGACAAAAATATTCTTCCTGCCCCCCCCAAAAAAAGGATAACTAGAAGGAATGATAATATCTAGTGACTTTTATAAAATAAATTTCAAGGATGGGAGGAGACTTGGGTGTGTTTATAGGCAGTATGGAAGGAACCAGCAGATAGTGAGAAATGGAAGATTAGAGGGAAAGTAGGAACAATTGTGGAGAGAAGCCTGCTGAAGAAGACAGAAAGGAATAGATTCAAAAGCACCTGTAGAGAGGGCTTGATTGTGGTGATTTGTTTTCTGAAGGTCAAAATATCAAATCTTTAATATTTAACTTGAAAATTTAAGTATATCTTTTCCCTTTATGCTCTTATGTAAATACTTAGAACTGCTGGATTATTTTAGCCAATATTCTCAGAAACATTTTCATTATACATAGCACACCCTGCTCTTCTAATATCAGCTTCTTAAGTTCCCAATGATCAAGATATTCTGTAGACCTTTGTCCATTAAAAAACAAACATAACAAATTCTTTAGCCTCTACTAATATGTTTTAATTTTATGAATCAACCAGTGGATACAATTGGTTCAAGCAAAGGCTTTTTAGTGCATTAGCATATAGTAAGAAAAGCAATAACATAATATATCAATGAACCTGGATTATTCTCACATCTAGGGAGTACTTCTGAAAGGCCATACACGTACGAAACATGTGGCCAGGAGAAACTCATGCAAGCGAAACATAGAAAGTATGTAGTGAAGGCATATATATGGAAGGGGTAACTCACATTATTGGTCATACAACTCTCATGTCTTCTCAAATGTCTTCACTCTTCTACTAGATCTTCCTTCTCATGGGCCTCCCTTGAATAGCTTCTGCAAAGCATTGCTCTGCTTATCATCTTAAAAGATTTTTCTCTTTTACTAGATTCTGGGCTTCAGGTGGAGTCTTCAGGTCTACCTAGGTGGTATAGTGGATAGAACACTGGTCCTAGAGTCAGGAAGATGTGAGTTCAAACCTGGATTCAGATACCTATTACCTGTGGGACCTGGACAAGTCACTTAACCTTTGTTTGCCTCTGTTTCCTCATCTGTAAAGTGGAGATAATAATAACACCTACCTCCCAGGGCCTTGTGAGGCTCAAATGAGATAACAATTGTAAAGTATTTAGCATCATGCTAGGCACATTTATATAGTAAGCACTACATAAATGTTGGTTACTATTACCTGATGGCTACCTTCAACTTCAGTCCACTAGATTATGGTCACTAAAAGTCTTCTCTCTGCCTGAAAAGAGTAATCTACCTGCATTTTAGTTTTAAACTATTTATCTCCATACCCAGGTAAAGGGGCTACCATTATCTCCTTAAGATTAGAAATTTCCTGGAACCTTTATGATTTGGCTTGAAAATAAATTTGAGCCAGAACAAAATCTAATTGATAAGGTCACAACAGCTATCTTCCAAGCTCTAGCTCACATTCCTGCCTTTATTATTTGTAAGTGACCAACAGCGAGTCTCCTGGGCTTTTAGGAACCTCACAAAAAGTAAAGCAAGTTTAGATTTAAGATGTCAGTCTGGGAAAGGAAGAAAATTTCCAGATACTACATAAATCTTTCTTGCAAGGGCCCTATCTAGAAATATTCATTTGCAAATGTTCTAAAAGAGACAAGAAATGGAAGATGATTCACTACTTTTACTTTTCTTCTAAGAATATTAAATGTTAGAAGAGCCAGAAAAATGTGAGAGTTTGTTTTTTTTAATGGCAGGGGCAGGGTAGATAGTACTTATTCATATATATATGTGTGTGTGTGTGTGTGTGTGTGTGTGTGTGTGTGTGTGTGTGTGTGTGTGTATCTTATTACTTATTCATTTGGCTATGCCATTTTGCCATCATATACAAAGGCCAGCGTCATGTACTGGATTAGATAGAATAAGGCTTAGATTCTGTTTCTGATATATACTGAATGTGTCAGCCTGAGCAATCCCTAAATGCTTTAGGAAACTCTCTAAGACTATAAATAGCAGAAAGGGGGCTGACTTGCATTGATAGAGAGGATTTCCTCAGTTGAAGCATTCTTTTAACCAATAAAATTACAGGTCCAGTTCCATCTCTATATTATATAGGATTATAGATTTAGATCTGGAAAGGACATCATAGGAAATCTAGTGTAAACCTCTTCATTTTCCAGATGAGGAAACTTAGGAAGCTTCTAGTGATTTGTCCAAGGTCCCAGAATAGGCAGCAGAACAGCTTTATGAACACAGGTTCAGTGACTCAGAATTTGGGGTCTTTTCCACATGCTACACTGCCCCCTTCTGTCCCTTTGATAAATCTCTATCTCGTAGTAATGAAACAAAGATAAAACATTCTTTGGAGAAAAAATTAAGCTCTTTAAACATAGACTGTATATAAACACATGGTGATATTGTTACCATTTATAGTTACCTGTTAAATATTTTTCATATTAAGAAAATAGTCTCTAAACCTAATTGTATTCAGTTTCTTTAATTTTCAATCTCTTCCCCTACTAAATTTGATTTGTTTCTTTACCTTTTCCCACAGCTATCCCATTTTGAGGCTTTGATCAAATACTTATTAATTGGCTACAACGTACCAGACAGTGTGTTATGCCCTGGAGACATAAAAATAAGTAAAAAAAAATAATCCCTCCTGTCAAGGAGCGTAACTTCAGTTGGGAACTTGTATTCTATTTTCCTGAGAGATGAGTTTGCCAAAAGAAAGAGAACCTAAGGGCATAGATAATTTGTAACCTAGAAAAATGGTCCCAGCGGAGTAAAGAGACTGCATTGAATGTCTAAACTTTAGAGTTTCCTAAAACATCAGCCTACCAAATGTTATAAAAGTGGCAAAAATAACAACTAAAAACAATTTCAATCACTGGCTGATATCTATGTAGTACTTTAAAGATTGCAAAACACTTTACATAGATTATCATGTTTGATCTTCACAACAACCCTGTTAAGTATGTATTCATTATTATCCCTATTTTCCAGGTGAGGCAGCTGTAGCTCAGAAAGGTCAAGTGGTGTACCCTTGGTCACACACCAAGTGTCATGGTTGGGATTTGATTTCGGGTCCATTGGTTTTTCTGCTATGCTCTCATTTCAGATAAGATATTTTAAAAATGTGCTTTTTTTTTGTTGCTGCTTTTAGTTCCCAGCCAATTTTTTAAAAAAGCAAACCCACATTTTAAATACCTTGAATTATGTAGGTTTGAAAAGGAAGAAGTCATTTTAGGTTTTAGAATTTACTTTTATCATTTGTGTTTCTGAAATATAAAAGAATTCTGTTAACAAAATTGTGGTCCTCTCTGCTACAAAAGCTATGGTCAAAACTAACATCTAAGGTTATCTGTAAGACATACCTAGATTTATGAAGAGAATGAGATCTTCTGCTCAACTATAAATTAGATGAACTTTCCTCGCAATAAATTTTAGCCAAGTGATAGAAAAAAAAGTGAAAGGACAAAAGAGAATGTTGTATGGACATATTTGGAATCGTTATCCCATTTCAAAAGAGTTTCTGATTCTGTTTGATACCCAAATTCCAAGCATAAGCAAAAAGCCTATACTAGACTTACAGAAAACCAACAACACCACTCTAAATATTTCTCTGATAGGATGACACAGTGGAAAGCAGGCTGGATTTGGTGTCAAAGGACCTGAGTTCAAATCCTGGTTCTGCCATTTACTCTCTGTATCACCTTGAGGAAGTCACTTAACTTCAGTTTTCTCACTTGTAAGATGAGAGAACTGGACTACCTATTCTCTAAACTACCTTCAATATTTATACTAATATCTCATTCTATAACTGTTTTGATACTTTCATTAGGTGTTACATATGTTTCTGTTTTGTGCTGTTGGTTCTTCTTAGTTTTATCAAAACTGTACCACTATCAGAAATGTTACTTTTTCTCAGAGGAAAATGAGTAAGTACATAACTTAAAATTGAATAATGTCCCTGAAAATTTAAAGGATAGACAAGAGGTTATATTATGCAATTCATAAATTTTCAAATCATCATATGTACTGTTTTGAATAAGCTAGTAAGCACAATATTTTAATAAAGCACTGAATATTTTGAAATGTTAAAAAAAAAGCCCCATCAGAAGTCAGTTAAACAAAGATGACAAAGAGGTATTTGGAAATTGAGAACTTGCATGAGTTGGTCAGTGACAAGCTGTTCCATGACAAGACAGTGTTATCCTTCTTTTCAAATGTGTTTCTTTTAGGTATTCTTTGAAGGACGTAATTATTGAGATGATGGAAAGAGAAATTTTAAAATTTCCTAATCTTCAGAGAAAATGTTTATCCATTAAATATCTTTCCTGCTTAAACAATTCAATGTGCATGTGTTTTTACGACTGTACTCTGGTCCCTAAAATAGAAGTTGAACTTGCAAACATTTGTATATGAGGGTGTTGATGCAAAATGTTTCTGTCAGCAACTTGTATCCAGACTGACTTATAAGCCAGTGCATTGGGTGAATCATAGTCTAATTCCAAAAGGAAGTCTGCATCAAAAGGTATTTAATGATGTCTCTTTTTATATTCTTTTTTTTTTAAACAGTGCTGTTAGTCCTGATTCTTGGACCATGACCAAAAGCAGGTCCTTCTCTACTTCCTATGCTGTCTCTGCAGCTAATCATGTGAATTCTAAAAAGCAAAGTCGACCAGGTAAGCAAACCATTGATCAGTATGGTCTCAGTTGAATAAGTTTTCATACAGCTGTCACTTAAAAATCATATGTAGCAAATTGTGAGAAAAGATCATCGTACCACAAAGCACAGACACATTTTCAGAGTTGGCCCAAAAATCCTAACATGATATTCTGGGTTCTGATTTGGCTGTTAGGAGAAAAAAGCCACATCATCCCAATATATCACCACTAGTCATTTAAAATTCCTCACTTGGTGATGCTGTTTTGTTTATTTGGAATGAGCTTTACAAGATCTCGTGTTCTAATACCCATGAGGCAAATGACAGTCAGTGTTCAAGTTAAAGACTACCTTGAATAGCGTCATTTTCTAACACAAAGGACATGGTGTACAGATGATCTGCTGAGGCCAGTTTAAACTTTTTTTTTAAGCATTCTTTAGATCAGGCCTACACAACATGATGCCTGCAGGCCACTTGTGGCCCACCAGAAGATTGCCAGTGTGCACTCTTTCCTGTTTGTCATATGACCTGGCAACCAACCATCGTCAGTCTGTCTCTAGTTACCTTTACTTGGAAAGCAAGCTGCTAAAAACCTATCTCCAGCCTGAAGAAGTTTAGTCAATTTTGATTTTGGGTGGGTCTGCTTTGGATGAATGATACCAATTACTAGTTATGTACCCATACATGTTCAAGGAGATGCCTACACATCCAATCCACTTCTAAACATAATGTATCTTTTAAGGGAAAAATATTTTCCTTTCTCATTATGACTTGCTTACATTACAGAGAAAACAAGAAACTTGTTATTGTTCACAGTAATGCCTCTGTGATTTTGGCCAAGAGTAGTATATCAGAAATCCTGGTCTCAAATTCTGCCTCCAAAGTAATCTGATCCCTTTGATCCTCAGTTTTTTCAACTACATGAATGAGAGATGGCACTAGATCTTATCTGATATCCCTTCCATCTCTGGTGCCCTTAGCAGGATGAGTAGAGAGGAGTTTCCTTAATCTCAGAACCTTTAGATGGACAACAGGATGATGGAAAGTAGAGCTTGGGAATTATTTCTCACCTCTGGGATCTTTTCTCTGCCCATTTCAAGGAAACACTTTTAAGGGGAGGGCAAATGCTTGTAATGTATTATTAATAAACATTATAATGCTTTCCTAAGTTTTGCAGTTAGCATAGTGGGTTTCATAAAATACCACATTTGCGTACAGTGTGCATTTCAGTATAACTTGTAGCACATAGCACTTAATTATTAATTACTTCTTTCAAATAGAGTTATACTTGTAAGGCTTAGGCTTCTGTAGGAAGTAGTCCAATATACATCAAACTAGAGGCGGAGTGAGAGAGACAGGCCACACTAATTGGCTTTTTTGCCCCATGTGAGAAAATAACTTTCCAAGTAACCCCACACAACATAATCACTGGAGCTTTATTAATTTGCAATTATCACTACAAAACCCCCCCAAAAGGGTTTATTTCTTTCATTGGGGGATGGGAAAGAAAGAAAATAAGTGATCATTAAAAATAAAACTACAAAAAATTTAAATTTTGAGTCAACAAACAGCATTTCTCAAGTTTTACTAGGGCCTAAAAAATTTCTGCCTGTAACATAAAAGTCAGGTTGTGTCTCCAATCCCATTAGATTGTAAGCTCCTTAAGGGCAGGGGCTGCCTTTTTAAAAAATAATTAATTTATTTATTTTTAGTTTTCAACATCCACTTCTATAAGATTTTGAGTTTTAAATTTTCCCCCCTCCCACTTCTCTCCCCCCCCCAAGATGGCATACAATCTGATAGGAAGTAATAAAACTGGAATACTAAATAATTTACCTGGAGAATCCTCACTCAGTAACTCTAGTAATTATATAGACTACCAATAAACTTTCTATTTTATTGACTGCTTTCTTATGAGTTGCCATCTTCAAAATATTACAAGGACCTTATTCCACAAAATGCATTATTGTTTTTGGCATATTACTCAATCTTTAAATTTAGCATTTTACCTAGAAGTTTCAACTTGTCATGATATTATACAGAGAATTGTTTTTCTGCTATAGTTTTAAGTAGATGGCTTACAAGATTCCTTCCAACTCTGAAAGCCTATGATTCAGTGACTTAAAAATAAAAAACAAAAAGAAAAACAAAAAACAAAAACAACAGCTTATCTTTCTGCATACTTCCAAACTCTGGAGTTTCCTTCCAAGTTCCAACTTTAGAGAAATTAATACCAGTCAGACTTCTTTTCATCTATCTCTAAAGACTCATGAAGAGGACCTTTGTCCTTAACATCTCTCCTCTTGATTCCCCTCTTGGAAACCCTCTGGAATTCTTCCTGGGAAAAACTGGGGTCCCTTTCCCTTTTTAAAAATGAATTGAGAGGGGCAGCTAGGTGCACCGGCCCTGAGGTCAAGAGGACCTGAGTTAAAATCTGGCCTCAGACAAAATACTTGATACTTACTAGCTGTGTGATCCTGGGCAAGTCACTTAACCCCAATTGCCTAAAACAACAACAAGAACAGCAACAGAAATGAAGTGAATTTCTTAGATGAAATAAATTTAAAAGCTGGACCAAGTTAGGACTTTATTACTATGCTGTGGCCCTAATATATATTTTTTTGTTTACCTGTATGTTTGTTTATAGCCAGACAATCTTTAACCTTTGCTCAAGTAATACAATGTATTTACTTCTCCCCCCCAAAAAAAATCCTTTATAGAGAATTAGCAAAGAAACATGCTTATCTGAATGCATAGCAGCATGTTTCAAATGGGATACGACCCTAGACTAATAAGTTATCTCATTTAAAATGTTTCTTCTCCTACAAATTGTATGCAAACCTTTGGGAGAGTACACCCTTATGGGTACAGGAAGATTTTTCCCCTTCTTTTATCTAGATGTTTCATTTAATTAAATCTCTCTTCTTTGAATTAATATTTCTTCTGGCTTGGTGTAATAAAAGGAGAAAAACAAGTGTGTAGGGACTTATGAGCTGAAGTTTTGAAGAAAGGCCAACCAAAGACTTACCTGTATCTTTGGTTTAGCTTTCATGGTCCCAAGTTTGAGTGGAGTAGGACATAGCTAAATAAACAGACAGGAAAAAGGAATAGATAAGAAGAATGTTATATATAGTGTTGGAATGAATACAGAAGCAAGTAGACCTGAAAAAGAGATAGGCTAATGACTAAAGTAAGGAAAAACTAACCAGAGATAGAAAATTGGCTTAAAGTCAAGAATAAAAACAGTACTAGATAAAGGGAAAGGTTCCAGAGTGGGAAGGTACTGAATCTGTTATTTGTACAAAGCAATTAAATAACTTGGCTGCTGGCTTAACCAACCTGCATTAAATGTTTTGACTACCTCACCCTTCAAGGAACTGCAATACAGCCACTTGTTAGCTAGCCACAAATGTAAGTGGAATGAATCAAGAACTGCAAGAACCCTGTGATTAAAGCATAGAAATTATTCTTTTGAACATGTATTTTCATTTCAATTTTGCTTTCCTTGCATGCAAATCACTGAATACATTGGCCTACCATTAAGTCATAAAATTTTTTAAACTTCTCTAAATCATATTTATCTCATATGCAGTAGTCATTTCCTGAACTCTTATAAACTGGTCCCACCTATTGACAAAGCTTACAACTATCTCCACTTCCAAAAATTAAGCTTACTTTTCCTTATTAAAATGCTGAATTGTGAGATGATTTTTATAAATCTTAAGAACAAAATTAATATTTTGATTTGTAATTTTATTTTATTTTTTCTTTTAATTTAAAAAAATTTTTGGAAGAGCCTGAGGGCTAACCAAGCCATTTTTCCTGTGAAAATATAACAGAAACCCTTTTATTTATCAGAACTTCTGGTTTCTTTCTTGTTCAATTAAACTTGGACTGAGAAAGTTTTTACAGCAAAAAAACAGATGGAGTCACTTAAATAATTTCCCTCCAGAACTGTTTATCTTCTTTTGATTGTTCAAAATTACTTGTGTCATGACACACATTTTCTCATGCTTTCATAAATAAGGAATTAAGGGCTGCATTACTCAATGGAATTGGAATTTACTTTTCTTCTAGTTGCATTCTTTAAAATATTTTTCATTTTATATATTTTCCTATAGGATGTTTTGAATCATACAAAGATTATATTTTGTTGGCTGTGTTTTTTCACAAAGCTTACTTTAAATTGGCATAAACATAGAATAAAGATAGAGATTGAGCTCGTGATTTTATTGGTATAAGTAACTCCCAAATGAAGAAACTCCCTCTTACAAAGCAGGTTGGAACCTTCTCTGAAAATTTTAGTCTTTGAGAGCTGCTTGGACACTGAAAAACTAAGTGTTTGTCCCAGGATCACACTGCCAGTATTTGCCCAAGGCAGGTCTTGAACCTTGATATTCCTACTTTGAGGCCAGCACTCTATCCAGCATGCCACGTTGCCAGTATAAATCTGTATCTGTACATTTATAGGTTGCATACTTTTATATCAAAAGACTTCAAAACTTAGCAGGTCATATAACCCATCCTTCCAACTTCAAGCAGAATACACTTTCAGGGATAAGGATATGCAATTAGACCTATGATTTCATTGATTCAGGGTGGGGTGGGGAAGCCCCAGTAAGAAACTTATTCTACCAATGTAGGTTGGCACTTTCTCAGCGATTTATAATCTGAGTGTCATCTAGAGCACTAGGAAGTTACATGACTTGCCTGTGGTCATATTTCCAATATGTGTCAGAGGAAGAGCTTAAACAGAAATCTTTCTGGCTTTGAGGTTTCTACTTAACTACCCCAAGATGTCTGTCCATACTTAAAGCCATCTCAAAAAGATAAGAATGTGTCTTATTTGTGAAGATTATTTTTGTGCAGTTTTCTTTTTAAAATCTAGTTTCTAGTGACTCTGATTTTCTAGATTTATTAGCTCATTCTATAGTATTAGTTCTCATCTGTTATTATCATAATTAGAACTGATGTAGTGCTTTAAGGTTTACAAAGTGCTTGACAAGTATTGTCTCATT